TCTGTCTGCCACGGAAGCAATCGTCATCTGGGTGCCTGTGCAGCTGCCGACGGTGGAGAGATATCAGGTACACACTGCTCATCACTGGGCTTCAGTGCTCTGGGTCATCTGTTCTGCAACATAGCAACACCCTGGCAACCACCCAGAATACCCTACAACACCTTAGCACTGACCTAACAACTGCTCAGAATGCATCATTATGCCATAACAACACATTGACAACCACCCAAAATACCCTAGCAATGGCATAACAACCACCCAGAACTGCTTAGTAACGTGAAGCAATACCCTCACAACCACACAGAATACCCAGCAACACACCATGCCATAGCAACCACCCAATACAACCTTGTTACCACATAGCGACACACACACAACCACCCACAAAACATACAACAAAAGCAATGCCCTAGCAACCACACATTAATGACATAGCAACACCCTGGCAAACAGTGAAAACATCCTACAACACAAAACCAGTGCCCTAACAACCACTCAGAACACATAGTAACTGCATAAAAACACATTTACAGTCACCCAAAATACACTAGCAGAGCCTAACAACCACTCAGAACACATAGTAACTACATAGCAACACCTTGGCAACCACCCAAAATAACCTACAACACTCGAGCAGTGCCCTAACAACCACCAGACCACATAGCAACTGCATAGCAACACATTGACAACCACCCAAAACAACCCACAACGCTCTAGCAGTGCCTAACAACCACCCAGAACACATAGTAACGGCAAAGCAACACCTTGAAGTCCCCAAACAACTCAATGCATAATAATTGCATAGCAACACACTTAGAACCATACAAATCCCCCTTCACCCCCACCACCACCACCACCAGCCAGTGCGGCTTATCTGAGCTCTGTCTGCTTCAGGTGCGGTACTGGCGTGAGTCTGTAGAGAACGAAGCGTCTGCTCAGCGGGTTCTGGTGTCCAGTCGAGAGAATCACACACGTCTGGACAACATGAAGCCCGACTCACACTACCTGGTGGAGGTGCGCGCGTGTAACGGAGCCGGATACGGACCCGCCAGCCAGCGCAACAGGATATACACCAAGAAGTCCCGTAAGTCCCTCAGCTGCAGCTACCGGCCGATCAGCTGATGCTCCTGTCCTCACTTACAGTTAACACACTGGCCTACAGCGGCAGCGTGCAGCTACACACACACACACACACACACTAACACTGTATTCACACGGGGGTCAGCTCAGACGGTAGCCAATTGCAGACTAATTTCATTGGCTGACGCTGCTATGATGATCACGTCAGCCCTTACTTCAGACACGCCCCCTCTGTCCAGCGCTGACGCTGAAGCCCCGCGTGAATCAGGACCTCTACATCAGAGGAAGAGGAGTCATCATACTGGAGATGCGAATGTTCTGAAAGCCCCTAAAGTGTGTGTGTGTGTGTGTGTGTGTGTGTGTGTGTCTTTCAGCTCCCAGTCGTCCTCCTAAGATCATCAGCACTAAGATGCACTACAGCGGCACCTCCATCAACATCGCCTGGGAGAAGGTGGAGTCGCTGAACAACGAGTCAACGGTGGCGGGATATAAGGTGAGGCGCGCTCCGTCACTCCTGCTGACCAATCACAGCTCACACTCACGCCTGCTCTCACTCAGGTCCTGTACCGGCAGCACGGCCAGCCCAGCGGCACGCTCTACACCACCGAGAAGCAGTCCATCGACCTGCCCATGAGGAGGGGGGAGTACCTGGTGGAGGTGCGGGCACACAGCGAGGGTGGAGACGGGGCCGTCGCACAAGTGCGCATCACAGGTGAACAATCAACACACCACACAACACACCCTAACACACCCTAACACACCACACACAACATACCACACACAACAAATCACCTTCCTTCAGCTTAGTGCCTTCATTCATCAGGGGTCGCCACAGCGGAATGAACCACCAACTATTCCAGCATATGTTTTACACAGCGGATGCCCTTCCAGCCGCAACCCAGTACTGGGAAACACCCACACACCCTCATTCTCACACACACACTCATACACTACAGCCAGTGTAGTTGATCAGTTCCCCTATAGCGCATGTGTTTGGACTGTGGGGGAAACCGGAGCACCCGGAGGAAACCCACACCAACACGGGGAGAACATGCAAACTCCACAAAGAAACACCAACTGACCCAGCCGAGACTCAAACCAGAGACCACAGTGCAACACCACTGAGCCACCGTGCCGCCCTCACAGTTATTTTAGACAGTATTGCATGTTTTCCAGCATCATGCCAGCATTTAATCTGCATATAGCGCCCTCTAGTGTCCCACATGGGCACTGCAGCCTCACTGTGTGTGTGTTTGACCCTGCGTGTGTGTGTGTGTGTGCAGGTTCGGCTCCGGCTCCGGCTCTGGCCTCGGCTCTGCTGCTGCTGCCGCTCCTCTGGACTCTGATGCTCTGAGCGAATGTAGACTGACGTGTTCAGCGGTGAAACACACACACACACCGGCGGACTGCAGACACGCGTGTGTGTGTGTGTCTTCTCAATATGCCTTACAGCATCTCACTCTGATCTCTCACTGAGCTCTGATTGGTCCAGACGGAGCGCCGCTGCCGCACCTGCTGTCAGGTGTTTTGGTGACAGATCAGCGTCTGAGCGTCTCATGTTTGTGTGTGTGTGTGCGTGTGTGTGTGTGTGTGCTCGTCAGATCAGTGGCTTCTCTTCTCTCTGTGGACGGATACAGTCAAAGCAAACACACACCTGCTCCCCTTCAGCTTCGCTATATTATATGCAATAATTGATGCGTTCCTCAACATTAGACCTGTGCTATACGGTAGATTACGCTAGACGATTATCCTGAGGAGTGTGTGTGTGTGTGTGTGTGTGTGTGTGTGTGTGTGTGTGTGTGTGTGTGTGTTTGATGGAGAGGAGAACATCTGTGTTCACACCACAGCTCTGCTGAACGCTGGACTCTGATTGGCTGCTGGTCACTCTCAGGTGTTTGGTTATTGTCAGATAAAGGCACAGCTAAAGTAGTTCCGGCAGGTTTAGAGCGCATTACAGCTCCATATCCCTCTGCTGAATGATTTCAGTTATTCACAGCTACAGCAGAACACAACAGAACTCCTCCTGCTCCTCCTCCTCGTCCTCCTGCTCCTCGTCCTCTCCTCCTCAGGAGGTGTGCAGCACAGCTCTGTTGTTTTGACTGTATCTCTCGGGTCAGGTGTGTATCGGTGATGAATGTCTTTAACTCAGTTTACTGCAGAATAGTGTGTGTAAGAGCGCGTCTAACTCTCTCTCTCTCTGTTTATATTGACTGTGGCTGCGGACACACACTCCTCATCTGTGCCATTGTTCTATCAGCCTGTGCTCTATGATTTGCTGTGTGAGTGTGTGTGTGTGTGTGTGTGAGTGGGTCTGGAAGTGTACATAAGTGTGTGTGAGTATGTGTGTCTGTGTGTGTGTCTGTGTGTGTGTGTGTGTGTGTGTGTGTGTGTGTGTGTGTGTGTGTGTGTGTATCTGTGTGTGTGTGTGTGCGTGTGCGTGTGCGTGCGTGACGCCCTCTTGTGGATCCTTCATGTAGTGTCATGAAGAGTGAACGGAACAGAGCTCATGGTTAAAGTGAACGAGGCCTAACGGGTGAATGAGTGAGTGATGCTCTGCGGAGTGTTGTGGTTCTGACCTGGCGCAGCAGGAAGGACACGACGTCGGTGGATTCCCAGTATGAGGCGTGGAAGAGATGCGGCAGAGCCACGGTGGGGAACGCCGTCAGCGCATCCGGACAGTACAGCGCAAAATCCACACGCTTCGTCCCCCACCAGCGCGACGCAACTGCACACACACAC